TGTAACATCACAGTATCTATTACAGGTTTCATCTTTAAATACTACCATTGGACATCAAGTTCTGTTAAAACATGAACTGAACTTCAGTGACTACTTTTATTGGATATCAATTGGAGCATTGCTTGGGTTCTGGATAATTTTCAACATTGGTTTCACCTGGGCACTGACTTCTCTGGAATGTAAGTTAATTAATTTCCTGCCCTCCCGATATTTGAAAAATGGAAAAAAAAATTGATTGTGAAGTATTGCATTCAATTACTCTTGTTCTAATTAACTTATGTTTGGTGAAAATTCAATATTGCAGCTCCAGGGAGATCCCAGACTATCATTTCTCATAAGCAGCTGGTAGATAAATTGGGTAATGCAACTGAGGAAAAAGAATTGCCTTCAGTCGACGTTATGGAAAGTGCAGCGGATACCAAAACCACAGGTGAGAAACTAGATAATATGTTATGTAAATGTACAGAGAGATTTTATTCGATTCACAAAGTAGATGGATTAGCTTCTAGTGTTTCTGGGAAATGCAGTATCAAATCTGACTAACTTTTTATTACAGGAATGGCTTTACCTTTTAAGCCCTTAACATTAACGTTTGAGAACGTGCAATACTTTGCTGATACTCCCAAGGTAATTACATTATTCATCACTGCCTAGTCCCCAGATGTTCGGTTATACTTGGAATGAATAATAATGAAACTGCGAGATCAAGGTTTTCCAGAGAAAAAGGCTACAGCTTCTTCAGGATATTACTGGTGCATTTAGGCCTGGAATTCTTACGGCTTTGATGGGTGTTAGTGGAGCTGGGAAAACTANGTTCCACTTCTTCAAATTCCTGTATCTGTAATCTATAGGGGCTTTGATCCTTTATTTGTTTTGGACTAGAAAATAAACTAAAGATTAGATAAAATGAAAATTCAAGAGGGTGGTTTCTAATTCTAATAATTCATTAAGGAAATTCTCATATTGTCCCAAGTCAATTGAATCCAAAAACCATCAATTTCATTTTTGTTGCATATGCATAATTGTAGAAGAGATTTTTTTGTAATGATAATGTGACCCCCCCCGTTTTTGCTTTTTATTTCATTTTATTTTAAGGAATTAATTTACAGTAACAAGAAAAGGAAGAATAGTTTTGGATCAATTCAAAAGAACAACAAATAATAAAAAAATAATAATACTAAATCTTTGGAATGCGTGCATTGTTTTGTTGTATTCAATTTAAAGGTTTTTTCTTTCTTTAACTAACTACAAAGATGATGGGTTTTTCACTCTATTTTCTATATAATATCGAAAGAAAAAAACCTAAAACCTAGAAAGGAAACGATAATAGAAATTGCTAATTACAAGTTTTAAAAATCTAGTTAAAATAAATAACTCTTTTTTTGACTGATCTCGTTCTCCGTGTAGGATACTGCTTTTTGGTTTAATTTCATAGATTAAATGAAGAAAACTGCTCTACTATATTAATCTACTTTATTCAAAATTGAATTTATTTCAATTTGAATAAATGTAGAAGGGGGCGTATTCTAGGTTCTAAGGTCACTTAAAAAAAAAAGAATCAAACAACTTTTTTTTTAATTTTTACATGTTTATTCAAAAAAAGTTCTATGTTTTAACTGAAGTTATATAATAGAGTTATTTTTTTTATGTATTATTTTTTCTTATTAATTTCTTAAAGAGTTTTTCAATGAATCAGTTACGTGAATTCTGAATCCTGAGATGGTGCAGATGCCAAAGACGATGAATTTCGTTTTTTCTTTTTCTCTATTTTTGTTCATACCACCGATAATGCTTGATAACTCACAAATTTTCAATTTAATTTTTTGATTCTTGGAACTAGTATTTGTATCTATCTTAAAATTTTTTTTTATTGAAACTTCGGGAAGTACTTTAGAAACATATGTATAAAAAAACATATTTTATTGAGTCCCTTCATGCCTACTATAACTAGTTATTTCGGTTTTCTACTAGCNGTATATATATATATATATATAAAAGAAAAAAAAATTGGAATGTTAAGTTTGACTGTGATGGTTCGTATTTTTGGCTCGATTTTAAGGCGTGATCTACTGATCTTTCGTCTCGTGAGAAGCCACTTGGCAAGCTTTCATTGGCTCATATGCCAAGGCACATGGACATCGCGTGTTACCATTTTAGAGCGTTTAGATCATATAACATTTTATTATAAGAGTATATTATATATTAATGGAAATAAATATCACTTTGAAGATTACTGGGAATGTTTAGAAAATATGCTTGGTTAATTCGAATAAATTAATAAATAATATATTTGATTGGGAAGATAAATAGATCCATATGTTATATAGATTACTAAATTGTAATTTTTAAACATTAATATAATAGTATTTTTTAATTATTTTAATTATTATTTTTTGAATCATTTTTTAACCCCCTATATTTGAAATTTTGCTAAAACACCTCAGTCATATAAAACTTAAATTTATAGCAAAATCACCCCACCCACCCCAAGCCACTACTCGCAGCCAACCACCACCGTCGGCAATCAATGGAATGGTGCACGACTAGTCGTATATGGTCGACCGTGTATCGGCAAAGCCGAAAAGGGTCATGGATCACAAATATTTCATGGTCGAAAAACGACTAGATCTAAGGCCATTTCACAGTCATAGAAACATCAGATTTGGCCGTTTCCAACCATGGATATGTGATTCCATGGCTGGAAAATGACTTATTGGCACACGACTAACTAGATCCCATTGGTCGTGCACCATTACGACGACTAATGCCGATGGGCGACGGTGGTCTTGGGTGGCTAGGGTATTTTGTTAACTTTTAAAAATTTTGGTGGCTGGGGTATTTTAGCTCATTTCTCAAATGTTGGGGGGTTGAGTAATTGTTATTTGGTAGACATTTGAGGGCAATTGTGTCCGAAATGATTTTTAATTAAGGGCAAAATAGGTAGAAAAATCAGATTACCTCGGTAATGTTTTAATAACACCCATTAGCAAGGTAATAAGATTACCCTCTACATTACCAAAAGTAAACATTATTTGCAATAAAAGATTACCGTAATATTTTATTACTTGCAAACCAAACAAATGAATTTTACAAAATAAACGAAGATTACTCCCGTTATCTTATTTACCTCTGATCCAAACAGTCCCTTTGAGAAAAAAAGTTTTAACTTATTAACATTTGTTAATGCAATGTTTTAATAACCAACCCGGGTGAAACTTGGCAAAGTTTGGTTTGATTAGCCGATCAATCGGGTGACAAAACTTTTAAAATTCAGCAAATATACCATTGAAAATTACAGTTAAGTCTTTCTAAGTTTGAAATTTAATAAATACACCCAAAATACAAATCAGCCAACGATTGGTTAGTGGCGGCGTGACACCCCAAATGCAATCACAATCGTCCATTGATCCCATTTCCCAAAAAATCCATTCAAGATCTAGCCGAAATCGAACAATCTCATCGACGTCGACGTCGGCATTCTAGGCAAGATCTCACCGACGTCAACGTCGACAACCCTCCCCATTACCCTGAAATACTCCCCTCTTCCTCTCGACCAAAACCCACCTCACCCCACCCCCATTAGCCTCGCCAATCTTCGGTTGTTGTCGCCACCAGTTTTTTTTTATTTACGATCGATTCACCCACCGGAAATCAATTATATCGCCACCATTGTACTCATCGACACTTTCTCTTCAAAAGCCTTAGTATCCTGACCTTTAATGTTCGCCGATTATCATCCCAAATTATAGGGTTTTTGGTGAATAGGGAAAATGTTAACCCAACCCGATGAAGCTCTTAGGTCCTGGTTAAATCGATCGAGTCGAGTAGGGTTTTCAATCAGTGTGTTAATGTTTAAATTTTAGATGTTAAAATAAATATCATAATGATAATTTCATAAATTATTTATTAGTAAATTTTAACAGTTTATCAAAGATTTATTGATAATAAATAATCAAATATTTAAACCATCCCTGGGTGATTGGGTAGGGCTATAGAGACTCTTGGTTGTATTACTCAAGTTATTGAGTTCAATTCCCCTTGATTGTTAACTTCAAGCCATAGGGAACTCAACTGCTAATAGGGGTAGGGGTGTTCATAGCCGGTTAACCGCTTTTTTGAACCAAATCGGTTTTTCGATTCAAGAATTTTCCTGAACCGAAACCGAACCAGTTAACTGGTTTTGAACTGGTTTTCCTTTTAATTATTTTTTATTTTGTTTTCAACTTTCATATGAATATGTTCCCCATCTTACTTGGTTTGAATCTCACACTAAATTTTAAAATTTGTGTTTGTGTGTAAAACAAAAAAGGAGAAATGCATAAAGGGTGAAGAGTAAAGAGAAATAGATTTGAGGATTTAGAGTTTTTTAATTTTAAAAGTGAAAACTGGTTCCAATTAACTGGTTTTATAAATTATTTAAACCAGTAACCGAACCGGAAATTCGGTTTATGCATTTCCTTAAATTGAAACTAAACCGGTTTTTCGGTTATCAGAAAAATCGGTTCAGTTCGATTTTTATATTTTTTTTAACATCCTTAAATATGGGTGGTTATTGGAGGGTGGGCCCCAAGGAACTCGATTGCTAATAAAAGTAACTACTAAATAGTTTATCTGGTTGTTAACTTCAAAGTCCCAAAGAATTTAGTCACATTCGATCTCGATTATTAATAGAAGTGGCTACTAGAGAGTTTATCTGGTAGTTAATTTCAAAGCCCTAAAAGAGTTGATCTACTAATCAATGTAAAATCGTACGGTTTTTTTGACTAATTTATAATTCAAAAATATAATTTTTTATACATATTTCTGTTTTATAGAACTTCAATTATTTTGCAGTAATTAACATATAAATCCAACAATAATTAATGGGTTAAGATAGTCAAAACCCTAGTAATTTTTTAATTCAAAGCACGAAATTTAAAAATAATAAAAATAAATTAAATGGATAAGAACGACAATTTAAAAATCAAATCTGGGCATGCAAATATGCATATAAAGGGCTCCAAAATACAAAATTAATTTCTCTCTCTCTGCGACTTTATTGCCCTGTTCTTGAAGAAGAAAAGAAAGGGTTGTAGAGGAGAGAGGCGGGGGCGGCCGTTTCGAATCGGATTCGGATCTACCTCGAAGCCGTTACCGTTTCTCACCGCTATTCCCGTCGATCGCCTCCTCCATCGCGAAAGACACAAGGTTGATTTTTAATCATCATCTAATTTTTAAAATTATGCCGTTATTTTATTTGCGAAGCATTCGATTTTTTTTATTCAGCAGTATCGTGCATTTTGTGAACATCTTTGCAGGTTTTAGGTTCTAGCTTTGTTGAAGCGTCATGGCTTCAAAGCGTATCTTGAAGGAACTCAAGGATTTGCAGAAGGATCCTCCTACCTCTTGCAGCGCAGGTATAATTTTTAACTTAACCGAATTTGACCTAATCTAGATTGCGTGTTTGTGTTTCTTTGGTGAATTGAATCAAAATTCCAATCAGAACTCAAACACCTGGATGTTTTGGTCAACAAATCCTGGAATCCGTTGTGTTGTAAGAAAAAAAAGAATTGGGGAATAAGAATAAATCTTTTTTTATTGAACGTGTTCGCTCATTTTGACGATTTTATCATATTATCCCGATTTTATCATAGTAATTTCTATTCAACCTTCCCGGAGTTCAATCTCCAGAGAACTCCATTTAAAAGATTCTGGAAGATTCCTTCCAACCTCCTTTTTTTATGATCTCATTGGAAATCATATAAACACAATTACTATCTGATATAGCTATTTGTGCAAGTATTTTACGATTAAGAAGCAACTGCCCCTTATACAGATTGTGTATTAATCTACTATAAATATAGGATACTCTATTTCGCCGAATTACTGCATTTATTCGAGTGATCCACAAACGACGAAAATCTCTTTTTTTCCTATCTCTATCATGATTAGCCGAAGCCAAAGCTCTTATTTTCTTTTGCGTAATTGTTCGAGTAAGTCTTGAATGAGCCCCGTGAAAGTTTGAGGCAAATAAACGAAGTTTTGTTCTACGTCTCCGAGCTATATATCCTTGTCTAATTCTGGTCATTGAATAAATGAAACTTTGATGAATAACTAATTGATTTTCTTTCTTTCATTTATTCATTTTCCCTTTCCTAGTCTATTAATAACAAAACGGATTCTTCCAATTTATAAGATGAAAATTCCAATGGCTTTTGCTACTATAACCTTCCTGACCACACTTTTTTCCTTTTTTCTAGGCACATTGGAAATAAAATAAAGTAGTAAATAGATTTATATAAAGAAATTGTGGGTTCCATGTCTCTATGGTTACTTCTTAAACGGTGAGGTCTTTTCTATACACTGGAGCCCTTTCCCTCATTTAATCAATCCTATTGTATTGGTAACTTGTACTGTTACCACTCTTTGGCTCTGCCCATGAATTTTTCCAGTAATAGGTCTTTCCTAACGAGATATACCTTATACAGTAACGGTATTTAATTATGAAGTTTGGTTGGGTAGCTGACCCTGTTAGTCCGTTCTTGCAAGAGTAGAAACATAATCTTTCCGCTTTTTAAAAAGGTTTTCCCCCCGCTTAATGGATAACTATTTGTTACCAATGGGGAATTCTTTCTCATCTTAAATTGCAAACTGAAGTGATTGAATTTTCACCAATGGAAACCATAAATTTCATACACAATAGTAAGATATGATAGATCTATCCTTTTTAGTTTTAGATCGTGAATGGAGTTCTTCCATTCTATCCGATTCAATGGTACTGATCATTGATATTGGAAAATTTGTTTTTTTTCTTTTGTTTTGTCTCAACCCATGATTTAAATGAGTTGCACATACACCCTCTTACATGTTCCTCGGCGCTGAGGGCATCCCCCAAGAGCGTTGGATTTTGTGACGTTTCTGATTGGCTGTCTTGGGTTTCTAATAAGTTGTTTAATAGTTGGCATGCTGAATTATACATTAGGGGTTGGTTTAGATCGATCCTAACCGGACGATTATGAATTTCTTCTATTTAATAGATTATATAGAATATTAAACCCTTAAGAAGAAGTAAGAAGATAAAATCGGAAATCGTGTATTTGCGTGAAATCACTGCTATTTTTTATACAACCGCTACAAGATCAACAATTCCATGAGCTTGGGCTTTTGTTGTTGACATAAAATCATCCCTTTCCATGTCTTCGGATACAACCCATAAGGGCTTGCCTGTTCTTTGTACATAAACCCTTCTAAGGGTTTCGCGCAGTGTCAGTAGTTCTTCAACTTCCAGGATAAATTTGCTCGTTTGTGCCTCATAAAAAGCGGCAAGAGGTTGATGGATCATTACCCTGATTATATAGATAAGATAACATAATAAAACGATATAGATAATATAACATAATAAAAGATTCCTATAGCTCAACGATCCGTGGAGGGGAAGAGAGAAAGAATAAGAAAAAGATAGAATTGAACAACCGAGGGGCATTTTTGTGCATTGCATACGGCTCTCCAATGGACTTCACTTTTTTACCTTTCATCGAAGAAAGAGAAAATATGGGGTCTCTTATACCCCGATTGGTAAATGATCCAATTACCACCCTTCTTTTTTTTGGAGGAGTTCAAAAATACTATGATGGCCCTGTTAATTAATGTTGTTAGAAGATATTTTGATTGCTTGTCAACATATTTTAACCTTCTAAAGAATATCATGAGTAATGTAGTCTCGTTTGTTGTTATTTGCTTTTGCGGCATTTAATATATTGATAGAGTGTGGTTGTGTTTTATGTTTTTCTCTGTTGAACTGTTAATTAATGTTCCTGGAAAATATTTTGGTTGCTTATCAACATTTTTCCATGCTAATTTATTTGGCTTTTAATAACCTTCTAAAGAATAGAATGAGATATGTAATCTCGTTTGTTGTTATTTGTTTTCGGGACATTTAACATATTGATAGAGTGTGGAGATATGTAATCTTGTTTGTTGTTATTTGTTTTTGGGACATTTAACATATTGATAGAGTGTAGCTGTGTATTATGTGTTTCTGTATCTAGCTTGATGAATTAAATATGCCGTAGTTGAATGTTTTAGCTCATGGTTTGATCTGACGAATAAGCTATGTCTTCCAAATATCTAATGTAATAATTGTGCTATGAATGGTTAATTTATGGTAGGTCCTGTTGCTGAAGACATGTTCCATTGGCAAGCGACAATTATGGGGCCACCTGATAGCCCATATGCGGGAGGTGTATTTTTGGTTACCATTCATTTTCCTCCAGATTATCCTTTCAAGCCCCCGAAGGTAATTTTTTATGTGTGTGCAGATAAGTTTTTTATTATATTAGTTGTAATAAAGCTTAGAATTTTATAGATTATTTTTTTTAACCTTAACAATGTCTTGTATCATTTTGTTGTTTAGGTTGCTTTTAGGACTAAGGTGTTTCATCCAAACATCAACAGCAATGGAAGCATTTGCCTCGATATCCTTAAGGAACAGTGGAGTCCAGCTCTTACAATTTCAAAGGTTTGACGTTTAAATCTTTTAATTTATGTATTATGATGCTATGTGTTTATGATCATGTTATTTTTGCATTTGCATTTAACTATGCCACATGGACACCTAAGCAGAAATTTGTGAGGATCTGATACCGGCAGAAATGTTTGAGATGATTGTCAACCTTGTGTTGGCTAACTCTTTTGTTTTTGTAAGAAAGCCATTTTTTGATTGTTGGAGACCACACAAGAAATGTAATACTGGCCATGGCCTTACCTAGCCAAATAATATGTAATGTAGCTGTGGATCCATGAATAACTTGAATTTCGTAAGTGAACTAGTATGTTTAATTGTTATTTGAGGATCTTTTCTTGTCCAGTTGTCTTTTGCCACCTATGCAACACTAAAGGCTATTCACCTCAGACCCTCTCTGCTCAGAAACTCCTAAACTATAAACCTGAAAAATCATCCATTTGGATAGTGGAAAGAAAGAGGGAAAGGAAATACTGTCTTGCATTGCTTCTCTTGTATCTCTCATTTCACTCCCATTCATATATTTATATTTGGTCTCGTGTAAGAGAAAAAAAAGGTGGCCTTCTCACTTTGATTTTGCAAAGAATGATGGAAAGGTGAAGAAAGTGTCTTTCTCCATCTTGTAAGCATTAAGAGGAGAGTGAGAAAGAGATTAAAAAGAGTGTTTTAGCATTTCTCTTGTTATAATTATACGTTTATGCTATGAGTGATAGTCTTCATTCAGCATTCCTAACCTATGCTTCTGGTTAACATTAGAACTATTTAGTACTGCTGAGTTGTATGCTAAATGTGACATCTGTGGCTGATATTGGGATTGGATGGGGGCAGATTGAAGGGAAATCTTTGCTGTTCACCTAATGAAATCTGTTTAAACTTCGTTGATTTTATGGCAAGATAGTAATTGCTTGTTGGATTACCTAACTATAATCTGAATAAATCTGTATCAGGTCCTGCTCTCTATCTGCTCATTGCTTACTGACCCAAATCCTGATGATCCTCTTGTACCCGAGATTGCCCACATGTATAAGTCAGACAAGGCAAAATATGAAGCCACTGCACGCAGCTGGACTCAGAAGTATGCCATGGGATGACAGTTGTAGGATATTGCAAAACTGGAACCATAATTTGTGGAGTATGTTTGGTTTGTTATGCTTTGCTTTTCCAGTGGTTGTAGAAGGATTGGGGTATGTTTGGTGGTGTTTGATACAAAGAAACTATATATTGGGTTCCGCGGGAAGTTGTTAAGGCTAAGATGTTTTTATGTTTATGTATCCATTCCAGTTTCTTGCTTGAAGCTCCTTTCATGCTCCTATCGCTGAATTAGTGTTATAAACAGACCAAAACTAGATGGTAATGACTATCAGTTGCACACATCCAGGATTCAAGATTTAGAAAGAAGTAATTCACCATAAAGCCTCTAAATCTAGTTTCTACTTTGGGATTTAAACTATTAACAAATTGTATTTACTGTCTTGATTTTTGTCTATGCCTTTAATGTTATTGCCTATTGGTACAAGATTTTTATACAATTAATTTTATAGATGGAATTAATTATATAAGGTGGACATATCCAATACGCTTATTTTGAAAAGAGTTATGCTAAACCTTTCTTACAATCCTGACATAGCACTTGACCTAATATTACTATGGTAGTTTCACCACACCCAAGATGCAACATGATTTTGATTAAACAAAAAAAAGCGGTCGTTCTTTTATAGAGATTAGTCATTCTTTATAAAAGAATGACGTTGTTTCAAGAAGAAAGAACATAGTTGTTCCCTCAGCAACAATGTTCAGCAACAATGTTCTTTTTTAAAAGAACAATCATTCTTTACAAAGAAATTGTTGTTTTTTCATAAGAGACATATGTTCCTTACGAAGGAACAGTCGTTCCTTTATAGGGGACGACTATTCATTCTAAAGGAACGATCGTTTTTTTTTTTTTGTAGTATCTTAGATGTGGTGAGAGCTGACGTGATAATGCTAATCTATTGATACGTTAGGGTTATATAAGAGATTTATGAAAATAGGCTATTTCCGTAGTATTAGTCAGAAGTAGAAGGGAAAGTTTGGTGGATTGCCAAAGTTCCTATCAAGTCCAGAGTCCAGCATTGACACAAGCGGTTGTGGGATTGATGTCCTAACTCAAACTAGAAATCCTAGCGTTGTTTAACAAGACAAGACAACCAATCCCATTACCAACTTCTCTGGCTTTCACTTTTACAGCCTGGCTTTCTCATTCTAGAATCTCCAACTACTCAATCCCTTAAATTAATTAATTAATTATAATCTTTTAAATAAGGAGGAAATTCAAATCTGCCCAGTACCCATCTCTTTATTAAGTTTTAGCTTTGAAGATAAATTTGGAATATATTTTATTTTACGTAAATATGGTCACTTATAATTCCAAACTTATCCTAATGTTGTCTCTTGGTCCTTTTTCTATTAGCATGGGTGGAAACATTATAACCAACACTCCAAACTTTATGAATATTAAGTAGAGTTAATTAAATTGAACTCTAAAACCCCTTAATACAGATTCTGTCATTTAAATGTAACGACACAAATGGTAGAAATGATATTTAAATTAAATGTTTATCAGTTTAGGTCAAACAGGCACGTAGCCACATAGAGAGTTGTGCCCACTCAACTTTTTAAAAATTTTAAAAAAATATTAATATTTTATGAATTTTATAATATTAACCTAATTTAATTTCATATTGATCTCATGAATTATTAATTAATTGTTTTTTAACTTTTCCCTCTTCTTCATTTCCTCTCATTTTTTCTCATATTATATTTTTCCTTTGATTAAATACTCAAGAAATGTCACTCCTTTGGATTACAAGGTAAAATGATGCTCATTTTTTTTTTTACTTAAACTTCTTTTTTTTTTAGCTTTCTTAATTAATAAAAGATCTCGAGCTATGAGTTTTTACTGAGTTTAATAAATGAGTTTGAAATCAGAAAATTAAATTACTAGATTTTAATGTGAGTTTTGATTTAATCTTGTTTATGTTGAGGTATAAGTTAATTAGTTGTTGTTTTAAGTTGAGTTTGATAAATTTTGGCTAGTTACTGAGTTAGCTTTGAATGATTTAAAGAAATAATGAAACCCCAAGTTATAAAGATTTTGGAATTATGCAATATTTTCAGAATATGAAAAAACGTCTAAGACAATTGTCGAATTGATAATTTGATATGTATAACTTTTAAAAGTACATTTTTTACGCTTGTTACTTTAGTATATATTTTATTGTAAATTTATCAATTTTGATGTTTTGAACCCACTAACTCAGAATCCTGGTTACATCCCGGAGGTCAAATCATATAATGTGGTATTAAAATGATAAACCCACATTAAATATATTTATATTAACTTTTTCATGAAATGGAGTCCAGCCTACAATACCACCATCTCCATACATCTCATATCCCAAAGGGCATTACCGTAATTGCCATCACAATCTCCACGTTTTAAATGTAATAGAACCGTCCAATACTCCGACCTTAGTATACCAGCTAATTAGATTCCGTTACGTACAAAACCGCTGTTTTTGACTCGCTGTTTGTTTATTAACCGTATGAAACACGTTTAATTTGACGAAAACACCCCCGTCACACCACCCCACTCGCCAAAAGCCTAAGCTTCTTCGAGGGCATTTCCGGAACATCGTGGGTTCTCTTATGACAAGAAAGGAAAGTGAATGGTGCTAACTATTAAATACGATAATATCTGAAAAATCAGGTGGTTATTTATTTAAAAATATAAATATATTATATAAATTACACTCCCCCNTGACTGTGTTGGCGTGCTGAGAAAGTTCCTTACCGATGTGGGACCTGCAGAGGATCATAAAAAGGTCACACAGACACTGGACCGAGTAAGACTATTTCCAAAAGTACATGATGAATTGATGATTTTATTTTAAGAATGACACGTGTACTAACCACTAAATCTAGAGCTTGCATTACAACATGTGACCTTTCTTAAAGTAGTGTTGTAATAATTAAATATTTTCTTCAAATTTAACATGTGCTTCAATTCAACTCATTTCTCATGTGTGTACACAAAAATCAAATAAAGTAAAAAACAATTGGGCAAAGCAAATCAATTAAAGTTTAAATCAATTATAATTATTTTAATTTAAAATCATAATTAATTGTAATTTATTTATTTTTTAAAAATAAAATTATAATGTCAACGCATATAAATGATTTATTTATTGATATTATTATTAAAATTTTAAATATGTTATAAATTTTAATTAATAATTAGTAAGATAATCTTATAAGCTTTTGAAGTAGGATCAAGAGAGACAAGAGGACTTTTGGCTTTATTCGTCAACGAGAGAAGCGCGTGGGGCTATAAAGTTGAATAATAATTAAAGCAAGTGGCAATTAACACATGCTTAATACAAAACTAACTTTAATTTTTTGATTAAGTCAAGACATCCACCAATCTCATCCGTAAAACCCACACGTGACTGTAAGATTTTTCTAGTCATGGACAAGGCAGCTTTTTTGTTGATTAGAATGGAATAGGGAAGCATTTAGGTCCCCCATTTTTATTTTAGCTTTTTTTTTTTTTTTTTCCTTAAGTTCGACGGACGTAATGTGATTTGTTATAATTGATCCTATTGATAGTACAGAGAATGGGTTTGTTGTCTTGATAGAGATGGTTTTATCTTTTTCGGATATTTATTATAATATCTGGAGCACGAAATACATAAAATCATAGATTACGAAGTATTTGAATTATGATTCATCCTTAATATTCAGGCCTGGCGGTCAATGGCGGATCCAATTAATGACTTGTGGGGACTAGAGTCCCCACTCAACTTTTGAAAAAAAGTCCACATCTTATATTTATTTAAATTTTACACTTATAGAATTATGAGATTTTGAGAACAGCCCCTAGGTTAGTTTGAATTTTATTTTTGTAAAACCCTATTTTTAATCCTAGTATATATATTTCATATTTTTTGTGATTTTTATTTTTATGCAAGAGGATCTATTAGTTTTTAAAAGTTTTATTAGGGGTGAAAATGAAAGGAATAAGAACTGTTGGATTTGCATTTAACTGAGGGGAGAAATCTGGGTATTTTTACATCAGAAAGCTAATGTGGCGAGGTCATGGTGAGAATAAGAGAATCTTAGAGCAATTTCATAATTGAAAGAAGTTGTTTTATATATAAATTGGGTTGTTTGTCAAAAATGAAGAAAAATGGAGAAAACCCCATAAAGAAGGAAGAAGAAGTAAAGGAAAAGGAAATAGGTTTGGTCAGTTTTATCCATTTGATTTTTCTACATTTGAGTTGATAGTACTTGAGAACCAGATTGAGATTTATGTTATTGACATACATTCTTGTAATAAATTTGATGAGTTACAAGAAATTGGTGATTTGATTAAGAATTTAGTTCGGTTTAAAAAAGAAATTTTGCATACATTAGTGTTTAAGCTTGTGAAAGTTGCATTGGTTTTATCAGTTGCGACTGCGACTGTTGAAAGAGTTTTTTCTACAATGAATCTTGTGAAAAATCGGTTATGCAATCGAATGAGAGATCAATGGATGAATGATTGCTTGGTCATCTATATTGAGAAAGATGTATTTGATACAATTGACAATGAGATGATTATCCAACGCTTTTAGAATAGGAAAACTAGTCAAGGACAATTGTAGAAAAATTGTTCTATTTTTACAAAAAATGTTTTTTTTTTTTTTACGATATTTATTTGTATTTTATAACTTTTCATTGAAGCTCATTGTAATGAAAAAAAAAAAAGCGTAGTTAGATTGGTTTTAATTTTTTTTTTTTTTTTTGTTTATATTTTGCCCCCATTGAGGGAAATTCCTAGATCCGCCACTGCTCGCCGCCAGATTCCAAAGTTAGAAATTGAATGAAGAATGATCATTCAAATTCCCATTTCTGCTTTCATTTGGGTATTTGTAAATTTTTTTGATGATACTAAAGATAATTCTTAAGGCTGTTACTGTATATATCACATGTAAAATCATGTTTAATAAAAAAAAATAGAATTTCATTTTTTTTTAATATATGGTAATTGTTTCTTTATAACCGAGATGTTTAGACTAATTTATGTGTACTTTAACTAATCTCAGAATTCATTGAATACCTTGCAAAGCTAGTGAATCAGGTAACATAAGACCTCTGAGTAATCCATCAAGATGACTAAAATTTTACTATCTGACCGTAAGATTAGTGGTTAATATATGATAATTTGGCAATAAATATATGAGATAGTTGATCTAGAGCAAGAAAACAATAAAG